CTAGAGCCTTATACTTCTGTGGGACTGATGTGCCAAGCCATCTGATCCACACAGTCCAGTAAATCCGATTGTCCCCTACCTCCACCTGGCTGGAGGCAGGGCCCCTCTAATGGTCATCACAGTATTGGACACTTAAGTCGTGGTAAAAGGGATTATTCTTCCTTATCACAGGAGCTGAAGTAAAATCAGCTCTTCCATTCCATCTGGGAAACTGCTCACCAGAGACTGAAGCCGTAGATCTCATGGGACGATCAGTCTTGGCCCTTGCTCCCCTCTTCAGTTCACTCACCCGTTCCTCCAAAGCTGAAGTAGGTTTTCCATCCCACTTTGTCATGTCTTCTCCGTGATCCAGCAGGTAAAACCATAGGCTACCACAAAGGAAAAACATGACTGCTACTGCTGAACCCAGGGCAAAGGCAGACACAGGGACTGTGAGAATGAAGACCTTGGGCCCACTGCAGGAGAGGATCTGGTTTGAGACCATCTTAAAAACCTGAACATGCACAAGTCCATGGGTCCGGATGAAATCCATCCACAGGAAGTTGCTAAGCCGCTGGCCACCATATTTGAAAAATCATGGCAGTCAGGTGAAGTTCCCGACGACTGGAAAAAGGGAAATATAACCCCCATTTTCAAGAAAGGGAAAATGGATGACCTGGGGAATTGCAGACCAGTCAGTCTCACCTCTGTGCCTGGCAAGATCTTGGAGCAGATTCTCCTGGAAGGCATGCTAAGGCACATGAAAAACAACAAGGTGCTTGGTGACAGCCAGCATGGCTTCACTAAGGGGAAATCCTGCCTGACCAATTTGGTGGCCTTCTATGATGGGGCTACAGAACTGATGGACAGGGGGAGAGCAGTTGATGCCATCTACCTGGACTTGTGCAAAGCGTCCAACACTGTCCCACATGACATCCTTGTCTCTAAATTGGAGAGACATCAATTTGATGGATGGATGACACAGTGGATAAAGAACTGGCTGGATGGCCACATGCGAAGAGTTGTGGTCAATGGCTCAGTCTCCAGCTGGAGACCAGTAACGAGTGGTGTCCATCAGGGATCTGTGCTGGGACCAGTCTTGCTCAACATCTTTGTCGGTGACATGGACAGTGGGATTGAGTGTGCCCTCAGCAAGTTTGCTGATGACACCAAGCTGTGTGGTTCGGTTGATACCCTGGAGGGAAGGAATGCCATCCAGAGGGACCTCGACACGCTTGTGAGGTGAGCTGATGTCAACCTCATGAAGTTTAACCATGCCAAGTGCAAGGTCCTACACCTGGGTCAGATCAATCCCAGGCACAGCTACAGGTTGAGCAAAGAAGAAATTCAGAGCAGCCCTGCAGAGAAGGACTTGGGGGTGTTAGTCGATGAGAAAATGAACATGAGCTGGCAGTGTGCGCTTGCAGCCCAGATAAGCCAACCGTATCCTGGGCTGCATCAAAAGGAGCGTGACCAGCAGGTCAAAGGAGGTGATCCTGCCCCTCTACTCTGCTCTTGTGAGACCTCACCTGGAGTATTGTGTGCAGTTCTGGTGTCCTCAACATAAAAAGGACATGGAACTGTTGGAACAAGTCCAGAGAAGGGTCACAAGGATGATCAGAGGACTGGAGTACCTCTCGTATGAAGACAGGCTGAGAAGGTAGGGCTGTTCAGCCTGGAGAAGAGAAGGCTGCATAGATACCTCATAGAAGCCTTCCAGTATCCGAAGGGGGCCTATAGGGATGCTGGGGAGGGACTCTTCATTAGGGACTGTAGTGACAGGACAAGGGGTAACGGGTTAAAACTTAAAGAGGGGAAGTTTAGATTGGATATAAGGAAGAAATTCTTTCCTGTTAGGGTGGTGAGGCACTGGAATGGGTTGCCCATGGAAGTTGTGAATGCTCCATCCCTGGCAGTGTTCAAGGCCAGGTTGGACGAGTCCTTAGGTGATATGGTTTAGTGGGAGGTGTCCCTGCCCATGGCAGGGCGGTTGGAACTAGATGATCTTAAGGTCCTTTCCAACCCTAACTATTCTATGATTCTATGATTCTGTCTATTCAGTGAGGGAAGTATAATGTCTCAGACTGTCACCTGTGGTGGTGCTGTTGTGGCAAGACAGGCACATGCCTCAGTGTCACTTAGCAGACTCCCTGGGGACCTACCATGGCCATGATTCCTGCGCACGGAATTCCTGTGCCCTGCTTTTCTCACCCTGTCTCTGCTACGGCACTCCAGAGAGCCAAGGTTTTTGCATGTCTATGAAGCAGAGAGCCTGGCATTCTGCACACTCCTCCCCAGGAAGTCAGAGGGCTTGTTTATAAAGGTAGTTTGGGGTTAAATATGCATAGTTATGGCCAGGAAAGCAGGATTCATCTTTTCTGGAAGTCATCTTTTTTTTTTTTTAAGCAATATTAGTAAAAGACTGCATTGCTGTTTGTTATAGTTTTGCTTTGCTCCTGGCTGGGCCAGGAAATAGTGTGCACAGAATGTAATTTCCCACATGTCAGCAGCATCCCTGCAGCCTTGCTCATACTCCACCAGTGATACACAAGTAGGACTAACAACACTTGAACCTGACATTTTTCAAACCTATCAAGGAGCGGCTGCTTTCAGATACCTCTTACCATCTATTACCTCTGACAGCTAGTCCCTGACAAAGGCACTCACACCCTGATCCTGATGGCTGGGATCATGCAATTGCTGTCCCAGCAAGAAGCCAGGACTCATTCAAGCAGCCTGAAGAAACCATGAAATGTCCCACAATTCAGCTGTCAGCATCCAGTGTATACAGAGCTAAGGGAGCTGTACAACTCACATTCCGGAGAGCAGGAGAAGATAAACTTCAGAGCCAAATCTTTGTGGTCTTTCACCACTGACACCACAAGAGATTAAGAAAAGATGTTCAAAGGATGTGGGATAAAAAAGTGTTCATCCAAATCCAGGCATCCCTGAGTGTAAATGGAGCAAGAACTTCTCCATGATAGAGCAAAAATTTTATTTGCCATTTAAACATAAAATAATGAAAAATGCATAATGCCTTCACCAAACCATTTGCATCCACTGGTCATAGTTCAAAGAAGAACCACAAGCTATGTTAATACAAATAAAAAAATCTCCCTTCATTTGCGGCCCAAGATGGATGAACATTCATGAATCATAGACTCATAGAATGGTTTGGGTTGGAATGGACCTTAAAGACCATCTAATTCCAGCCCCCTGCCATAGTCAGGTACACCTTCCATTAGACCAGGTTGCTCAAAGCCCTGTTCAGCCTGGCCTTGAACACTGCCAGGGACGGGGTGGCCACAAGTTCCCTGGGCAACCTGCTCCAGTGTCTCACATTCTGACTAGTCTTTATGGTTTCTTATCAGAAATCAATTAATAATTTGAAGGTGTAATTTCATCTTTTTTTTTGGCTAAAATCCTTTCTGAATCTCATCACATTACTGGTTGAAACATGTTTGAGCAGTAGCTCCATATTGTTTTGGGTGAAGACCTAGGCCTAGAGCAGGTGATTGGCAGCCAGACTGCTGTACTTTAATGTCATTTTAAGATATAGCACATACATTAGAATCTGTACATAAGTAACATAAGCAGTAACCGTGTGCCCTGTGTTCTTAGAATCCTCAAACCTTCATGCTTAGCTAATCATTCATCTCAAACAGGCAGGGAATCTACCTGATCCTCTAGTAAGAGATTTTCTGCAATTCTTGTATTTGAGAGTTTCACCTCCTTTCATATAATGGTGTCTCTTTTCCTAGTAGTTGTTTCATTGAAAATTCTGAGATCTCCTTTTTTAAGGTAACATAAAGTGATAATGGTTTAAAATTTAAAAATCTGAACACCTGCATAAATTGATGTATCAGCTGGTAGTTATTATGTCTTTGCATTCCTCAAGTACAAATAAAACAGTAGAGCATATTTTATCTTACTTCATATTGAACAAATCTATTCTAAGAGGTGCAGAAGAGCCATTTCTCCTGCTCTTCTATGCTATGAAGTTTTATAGAAATGAATCTAAATTATTCTTAGCTTTGTAACAGGGGTAAAAGATCATAAAGCTGACTGCAAAGTAGTGTCAGCCTAAGGTCTTTCTCCCCTTCCCCCCACTGCCTCAGTCCACTTCTTTTTAAATAGTGTCTTCCTTTTCTTCCTCTTTCTTCACTTGGAAGAATTTTCCCCCAGCAATTCTGGGAAACACTTACTTATCTTCTGGAGTGCTGCACTTTCTTAAATCGCTATTGAACACAAGGGGCACTGCTCACAGCAATCTGAAATGCAACAGTGTCATGCTATCACATAAAATGTCACCTTGCCCAGCTTGTCATGTATATGCACCACGTTTTGGACAGATATCATCTTGTGGCTCCAGCTGAAGCATTGCATGAGGATGCCCTCTATCTCCATCCCCTCTGGCCCACTCCTGTGCCAGCATGGCTACATGGGTGAACGCTTCCTCACCCACTCCAGGCAAGAGTAATGAGGTTATTGTCAACAATCTAAGCATGAATTCTTTGCTAACCTGTTCCATTATAGTAAGTCTGTGGAGAGCTCTTCATGACCAGCTCAGCCAAGAGAGCTGATGGGGAAGGAACAGCAAAGATAAGTGAAAGCAGTCTGTCTGCAGCATACACATCTGTTTGTGCCCTCATAGTTGCCTCCACTGCTCTGCAGCAAGACTCCATGGGTTTGCCACAAAATGTTCTTTAAATTTCCCCAGCATCTTTTGCTATGTGCAAAATGGAAAGGAATACAGCTGATAACGAGAGTCATCAGCACATACAAAAGTTGTTCTTTCTTGGTCAAAGGAATAGGCGTGCACAAATTTTCTATCAACTTTTCTTTCAAAGCTATTGTGACCTGGGGAGCTGAAGTGATTCTGCCTTACATTAGGCTTACAGCACATTCTGGTTTACTGGCACTATTCCCACCACTATCGTTAAGATTATGTCAGTGTTTCCACTAAGCACTGTGTCTCTGAGGAGCTTATGGTAACCAAGAATTAATTCTGGACTCAAACATCATATACTGTAAATTCCCAATGATGTACACTTAATTTCTTTAAAAAACATGGAGTTAATTGATATTGCAATACATACACATCAGGATTCAGAAAAGAATTTGGGCTTATACTGCACTATTCAAAATGTTGCAGGTAATATATAGCAGCCAGAATAGTTGGTCATAAGTTGCCACTCAGAAAACAAACAAACCAACCAACCAAAGAACAAAAAAGAAAAAGTTATGGAACTGTGTTTTCTGACCTGCATGTTGAGCCATGAAAGATATGTCAGTGACGTAACTGAGCTGCCTCGGAGTGCTGGCTTTGTGCTTGACAAGGCTCACCACCTGGAACTACTTATTTTGGAGAAAAGTTTCACTCAGTTCTTTATGATGATGCTTCTGGAGGCAGGACATGTAGCTTACACAACATCAACCTTTGTTATGAAGGATATGCACTGCTCTCCTAAACCCTCTCTGGGGCTCTATGATCCCCAGAACAATGCCAAACAAAACATGCCTCTTACTGCGGCTAACCAGAGAGGATTTATTTATCAACAGCTCTTGTCATTATTAAGAAATCAGTATGAAATGCCACAGACATGAGGAGATTCTTTGTGTTAAGATGCATCACTCCGGGGCAGAAAACAGAGAAGGAAATATCTGTTCTGGGTGTGCAGACTGCATCTTTATCCATCCATTGTTTTCAATAGGAACTGTGTATGCCACAGACTAGAAACTTTTAGAAGTGTATGGCAAGCTGAAGGGAAGCATAGCCAGGGAGCTGCGTATAAAGTACATGTAGTTTGGTATACTCAGTCAGATCTCTTGGAATTTTCTATTTCAGGAGAAAGACCTTGAGTCTTACAATATCATTCTTCTATGGGAAGGGAAAAGAACAGATATTTGGGGGAAGATATTAGAATAACCATCAACCTAATCTGTTAACACTTAGTCATGGAAATGTTCCCACAGAAGCATGAGAAGGACTGTGTCTTTCCAACAGAGACACTCACTCCTTTCAGAGAGTTTAGTGTTGTGTTCAAGAATGGGATCACATTAATCCAGGAAGCAGCCTGGGAAGGGATTTGTCTGCACAGGAAACATGGAAGACAATACTAAGGACATCTCTTCCAGACAATGATGCTGCGAGGGGACATGCTGGCTTTTCCACACAGGGTGTTTGGAGGATAGTGCTGTTGCCCTCAGGAGCTGGAGGTCAGGTAGCCTCCCTGTTCCCAGGGCACACTACTTACCTCAATAGGTGCCAGCAACACCTGCTGCCAGCAACACTGGGAAAAGCACCAGTGACGAAAGTAACCTTAATACTGGGTTTCCCACTGCTGTTTCCAGTAGTGAGCTGCCCCAGTGAAGGAAAACCAGGAACATAGATACAAGGACACAAAGACAGGGGCCCCTGCTGCTGACGTGACTGCAGTGAATCAGGCTGACCAACTTCTGATGTTGGTTGTCCTCTCCATAAAACACATCTCATACACAATTTTTAAGATTTCCACTTATTGAAATCATAACCCATTTATTCCTCCGTTACAGCACACAAACATTTCTGTACTGAGGTAATTTCATACAAACAGTAGGGGGGAAATCAAGAATCTATGGCAGAGTATTACCCAAGTTATAAAAGCAGTTTATTACTCTATTGTGTGTCTAAAATTTCTGGAATATTGTAGCAGATATATTTTACAGAGAAATGACCACACTTTTTAATGAAATCCAGGTTCAGATTCTGGCAACATTTCTTCCTTAATTTTATCTTTTGTAACTGAGTCTACTACCCCACCAGGAGAAATCAACAGAATATTTAGTACATCTCACCATCACACCTTCATGTGTATTTGCATAGAGAAGAAAATAACTCCACATGACAGACCAGGACTTACTTTTTCTTTACTTGAAACCAAATTCTGTTGTCTGCTGATGATTACATGTCCCAGTTTGTTCTTGTCTCTTCCAGGTGAAATTCAAGCAGTCATTACAATTTCTGCTGGACCTCTCTTGTGTAATGCATACTCCCTTGTTGATTTAGATTGGGAGCAGTGCTGCACTGGGTTCCTGCTCTCCAGCTGCCTCCTTACACTGCTTAGAGTCACATCCTGCACCCCTCACTGGTGCACACCACAAGGAACAGCACTCTAAGGAAAAAAAAAAAAAAAAGAGTCCCAGTTCCTGTGTCGAGGCCTGTTGCAGAGTACAGAAGCACTGTGGACATCTTTCTGAATCCCTTGCACACCCAGCTGCATCAGTTACAATTCAGCTGACCAGTATTAGTTTGCCTGTGCCAGCTATGGATAAATCACAGGTCTTTAAAAAGATTTTAGTTCAGTCAAATCTGTTTGCTTTATGAGACCCTTCTGACACAAAAGTAAGTATGTGGATGCTGCTGGTTTTCATACAAACCACTGTAGGTATTTAAAAGAAACAAAAAATAAGCCATTTGAGTGATTACGCTCATCTGCCGAATACATTACTCCTGGGAACATTTTTTCTGAAACTGAAAAAAAAGCATCCTAAGGATGCTCTTTCAGGAAACACCTGATGTGGAATTGTTCCATCTGAATGGCACAATTATAACACTTGGCAACATCACAAGTATCTTTAAACAAGGTCATACACTGGCAAGTATGAGGCAGCCTACTTACAAGGCACACCAGTGGCTCTGCCTTGCACACGCTGCCTGTGTCCCTGAAGCATGCCCAATGCTTCACAGACTGACCGGTGCTCCTGTCACATTAGCAGTTAAATAACTTTGCAGTACTGTATAACACTAAATCATCTTCAACGTGTTTTTATTAACTTGTTGTCCTTCTGGTGACTTTAAGAGAAGAAAGAATAAAACACAGAAGCAACCTATACACAAGTGTACATTACCTCCACGCATCTAAGTCTTGGTGTTCCTGAATTAGGGTGCTACTGTGGGGTCCCCACATGTTCTACACATACAGCAACAGAATCCTTCTGTACATCATAGATGAAGAGCCCTGCTAGTCTTTACCACACTGACTCATTTGCCTGCTGGTTCATGCAAGTTGAATAGGATCACAGAAGGCCAACGGTTACAATGCATTTTGTAAGCCCGAATCATCTGACTTCAAAACAGGACAGTGAACAAGAACTGCAGCTTCAATGAAAAGAGTGTAAGTTTCTGGCAGTGCTAAAGGCTTCTTGAAATCCACAGTAACATTGGTATGAAAAACAGGAAATTAAAACACTGTCATGAAATCTACTGCACAGACCAACCAGAACATGAAACATATCTGTGATGGGAGTATGACACAAAGTGTAGAAAATATCAGCAATTTTATTTGCAAAGAAAACATGACAGTGCTGTCCCATCACCAATTAAAGCCAGTTTGGAGTAGAAGCTCCATTGAATTTGAGACTTTGCTTACTCAGCTTTCACACATCTCACTGTAAAGATGTGTGAAAGATGATTGTGCTGTTGCCAGCACTGGGTAGTTTAATATTCCACAATCAAGATAAAGCCCAAATCCTCTCAAACAACATTTAGGGGATACATACACAAGCATGAAGAATTAAGGAGCAATATATAGCCCCCGTTAAGAAGAACTCACAAATGCACCTGATAAGCCAGAAGCTTTCTGGGCTGCAAGCGCACACTGCTGGCTCATGTTAAGTTTCTCATTGACCAACATCCCCAGGTCCTTCTCCACAGGGCTGCTCTGAATCCCTTCTCTGCCCAACCTGTAGCTGTGCCTGGGATTGCTCCTACCCACATGTAGGACCTTGCACTTGGCACGGTTAAACTTCATCAGGCTGGCATCAGCCCACCTCACAAGTGTGTCAAGGTCCCTCTGGATGGCATTCCTTCCCTCCAGCCTATCAACCGAATCACACAGCTTGGTGTCATCAGCAAACTTGCTGAGGGCGCACTCAATCCCACTGTCCATGTTACCAACAAAGATGTTGAACAAGATCGGTCCCAACACAGATCCCTGATGGACACCACTTGTTTCTGATCTCCAGCTGGACACTGAGCCACTGGCCACAACTCTTTTGTGTGCGGACATCCAGCCAGTTCTTTATCAACCAAGTGGTCCATCTATTAAATTTCTCTCTTTCCACTTTAGAGACAAGGATGTTGTGTGGGACAGCGTTGAATGCTTTGCACAAGTCAGGTCTTGTTTCACATCTTTGTTGGTGACATGGACAGTGGGATTGAGTGCGCCCTCAGCAAGTTTGCTGATGACACCAAGCTGTGTGGTTCGGTTGATACCCTGGAGGGAAGGAATGCCATCCAGAGGGACCTTGACACGCTTGTGAGGTGGGCTGATGCCAGCCTCGTGAAGTTTAACCATGCCAAGTGCAAGGTCCTACACCTGGGTCAGATCAATCCCAGGCGCAGCTACAGGTTGGGCAGAGAAGAGATTCAGAGCAGCCCTGTGGAGAAGGACTTGGGGATGTTGGTCAATGAGAAAATGAACATGAGCTGGCAGTGTGCGCTTGCAGCCCAGAAAGCCAACCGTATCCTGGGCTGCATCAAAAGGAGCATGACCAGGTCGAAGGAGGTGATCCTGCCCCTCTACTCTGCTCTTGTGAGACCTCACGTGGAGTATTGTGTGCAGTTCTGGTGTCCTCAACATAAAAAGGACATGGAACTGTTGGAACAAGTCCAGAGAAGGGCCACGAGGATAATCATAGGACTGGAGCACCTCCCGTATGAAGATAGGCTGAGAAAGTTGGGGCTGTTCAGCCTGGAGGAGAGAAGGCTGCATGGAGACTTCATAGCAGCCTTCCAGTATCTGAAGGGGGGCTATAGGGATGCTGGGGATGGACTCTTCATTAGGAACTGTAGTGATAGGACAAGGGGTAATGGGTTAAAACTTAAAGAGGGGAAGTTTAGCTTGGATATAAGGAAGAAGTTCTTTATTGTGAGGGTGGTGAGGCACTGGAATGGGCTGCCCATGGAAGTTGTGAATGCTCCATCCCTGTCAGTGTTCAAGGCCAGGTTGGACAGAGCCTTGGTTGACATGGTTTAGTGTGAGGTGTCCCTGCCCATGGCAGGGGTGGTTGAACTAGAAGATCTTAAGGTCTTTTCCAACCCTAACTATTCTATGATTCTATGACTTGGGCAGCGTGGTCAGAGCACTTGCCAGTGAAGACTGAGGCAAAGAAGTCATTCAGAACCTCAGCCTTCTTCAAATCCAGGGTAGCCAGTTCTCCCAATAGCTTCCAGAGAGGGCCCACATTATCCCTAGTCTGTCTTTTGCTAGTAACGTATCTACAGAAGCCCTCCTGTTATCTTTCACATCCCTTGCCAGATTCAATTCTAACTGGGCCTTAGCTTTCCTGACCTGGTCCCTAGCTTCCCGGACAACATCCCTGTATTCTTCCCAGGCCGCGTGTCCTCGTTTCCACTTTTTATAAGCTTCTTTGTTCCCTCTGTGTTTTCTCAGCAGCTCCTTATCCACCTATCAAGGCTTCCTGGCCCTCCTGCTGCATTTCCTTCTAGTCGGGATGCAACACTCCTGAGTCTGGAGCAGGTGATCCTTGAACATCAACCAGCAGTGTTGGGGCCCCCTTCCCTCCAGGGTTTTATCCCATGGAACCTTACTAAGCAGGTTCCTGAAGAGGCCAAAATCCGCTCTCATGACGTCCAGGGCAGTGAGCTTGCTGTGTGCCCTTCTCACTGTCCTAAGGATCTCAAACATCTCATGATTGCTACAGCCAAAGTTGCCCTGGAGCATCACATTTCCAACCAGCCCATCCGTTGGTGAGCACGAGGTCAAGCATGGCACCTCTCCTTGTCAGCTCCCCTATTACTTGCAAGAGGAAGTTGTCTTCCACACAATTGAGGAATCTCCTGGATTGCTTATGCAGGCTGTACCATCCCTCCAACAAATATCAGGATGGTTGATGTACCCCATGAGGGCAAGTGCCTGCGAGCATAAGGCTGCTCCTGCCCATACAGCACTTCATCCACAGAGTCCTCCTGATTGGGTGGCTTGTAACAGATCCCCACAGTAATGTCCCCCATCACTGTTCTCCCTTTGACCCTGACCCACCAATTCTGTTGACTCATCACCTGTCCCCAGACAGAGTTCCATACTCTCCAGCCTATCACTGACACAAATAGCTACTCTCCCTCCCTGTCTGCCTGGCTTGTATTTTCTAAAGAGCCTGTAACCTTCTATTCCAACACTCCAGTCATAGGAGCCATCCCACCATGTTTTTGTGATACCTATTACATCATAACCCTGTAGACGTGCACACATCTCTAATTCCTCTTGTTTATTCCCCATACTATGGGCATTTGTATAGAGGCATCTGAGCTGAGCTCCAAATGAAGCTGGCTCATTGGCTGGAGCAGCTGAAATAGCTCTGCATCA